TCTTGTACCTATCAGGAAAGCTCTTACAACTTACAATCAAGTCCCAAGCAAAGTCAGCCCGAAGAGATTAAGCACGCGCGTTTCACACAACGGTGCTGCGCATTACCACTGCGTTAGCGACCTACACGCTGACACACATCCAGTCATGAGATCATACTTACGTTCATCGTAAACTGCGCTTGGGCAGAGGCGATTATGTTCGCGGCAGAAAGCAAAAACAATTAGCGATGATAGATCTGCGTACGTAAGAAACACTAGTTCGTGGTGTAATAGAAACAGCAATATTAAGCCAATTACAGAAATAACGGTCACCCATAGGAATCACATACATAAATGCGCTTATTACAAAAAGTGACCAAGATATTGAATCGAAGTGATGACTCCGTGGTGCAGTTGCCAAGGTATTGGCTTCGGCGTCGGGGGTCGTGGTTTCGATTCCCACACGGGACAACTATTTGTGCGACCCACAGATAGTTGTTTCGCATCTGGGTGTTTGTCTAACGTGAAATTTATGTTTGTAAAACGTCCCTACAACACAGGATAATGTTATCCTAAAGTAAGGGCAATGTTTATAAAAAAATAAAATAAAAAAGAAGTAGACTTTACACGGCGGACATTTACATTACAATGCTGATTTCCAAGCAAGTAAATTTGCATAGCTAAATATTACATGTGTATTAATAATTTTGGTACAGACAATAATCCTTACTATATAATATAATATATAATAATAAATACACAAGAGTTATGAAAAATTTATTGAAAAAGAAATGGGAGCTTTGTTTTTTTACAAATATTATATAGACGCGAATCGAATGACACCGCATTCATATTTTTCCGAGACTGCTGAAAAAACTAGACTAGTGCTTTCGGTCAATGACTATAACGACTATAAAAATTTATTCATAAACAAATCAATATTGAGACGTGCTAGCCAATGCCTGATAAAAGAATTATTGTCTTATATAGCATGAAGAAGTGTGTACATGTTAATACCGTTAGGAAGATATTCAAGACCAGAATCTGCAAGTATATACATACGCTGTTATCACTAAGTTTCATAATAATAGATAATTGATTAAAATTTAATCGGTTAGCGGTCTCTTGAACTTTTGTAATATCAAACAAAGGAAAGGCATAGGTGTAATTCTTTTAGTAGAAGTACGTATTATAACGTAGTTTACAGCAAATATTTAAAAAAAAGTAAATAGTAACTAAAATATTTCAAGATACGTGAAGACTGCCAATCCATCCGCACTGCGGTCTCGTGGTCTGTGCTCTAATACCCTCTGCGAAGAGGAGACTTTTGACAAGGAGTGGGACATTTACATAGGTTCTAACTTTACTTTTTTTTAAACAAAAACCATTTGTTCTTATGTGTTTGAATATGGGGATGGTTTACAATACCACTTAATAGTTTTACTTAAATAGTAGAAAATATAATGTTAAGGAATGGTTAACCTAGTGTCTTAAAAATATATGGAAAGAAATTTTCTTAAAGAATTATCGTTGGCCCATTTTGCTATCAAGATGTTTTATTGTGCATATAAGTCTATATATAGCTGTAATCTATTCAATATTTCCAAATAAATCTTAATGTTAATAAAACAGAAGAAAGTTTCTGTGTTGATATGTTGTTTTACTCAACATTATCATGATTATTTATAATTAATTTACGTTGAATTTTTCGAACACGAAACTTTCTCTATGTTGTGTAAATTCAAAACGCGCTTATATTGAATATTATGTTTAAAGAAGCATTAAAAATTTAAAATAGTCACAAGCATGTTACCTATTGTATAAAAATATGTTAATTATCGTCATGAAGAAATCATGTTTAGGCGAACGTTAGTTCAATAATAACGGTTATTTGGAAAAGTTCTGTACATATGGACATAATACATAACGCATAAATATTGAGCTTTCAACTTGTCTGCCGCGCTTTATGCAGGGAAGTGAAAGTTGGCAAAGTGAATTACGTAAAAGACGAGTTTCCTTGTAACTTCATGTGCGTTAATAAAACATTAAATTTTCACATCTCGTCTGTGAGACCTCTGCTTTCGTTCCTACTTCAATCCATTATCATTAAACAATTGACTGTTGTCGGTTGATGTTTTTATATGATCGATTTCATTTTACGTTTTATTTATTCAATACAATAATATTTACTATCATTTATCTTTATTTCAGGAAACACTCATGGTTATATGTAAATTAAAATTAAATTAACGTCTGTTTATTTTAAAAGGTATACGAAATGTATTTTAACTCATTGACTGTAAATTAATAATTCTAATTGTTTTATGTATGTTCCTAATCAGTTATATTATACTGCTAATTATTAAGTTGATTTTATTTTATCAACAGACCCCTCTTCCCAGTATTTCTTAAATCAGACCGGCTCATTTGATCTGCAAATATCTTCAGGATATTACTTAAATATTAGACATTTATTTAGATTTGAAATAGCTATGGTGGTGAGCCAGCCAAGTCAAGTCACGCCGGGGCCATTCCCGTAACGTGTGACAATACCGTATGAATAGAATAGAATAAAACAAAGGATAAGGTGAGAAAGAACGAATAAACCGTATTCTATTAAAATTAGACCAATTCAATATATCGAACTGTTAATTTTAATATATTACAAGTAGAGCAAGCTTTTATGGACTCCTAACGGTTTCGGATGACGGTTCCGCTCGGCCACCGGATTTTATTAAACATGTTCACATGTATAATTAAAGACATTATAAATATAAAGCAATAAATCAAGAGTTCCGTCTTTGCCAGTATAACGAAATAAGCGTGCACCAATAAGTTAATTGGACCAGCACTGTCTCCCATTTTGGACAGTATCGATTGAGACTAAAGCCATGAAACGTGGCTAACATTACCTAATATTATTATAATATATATATTTGTGTATAGCTATATAATAATAGCATTAGATATATCTCTCCACGAAGTTAATTAAGAAATGCACCAGAGCTTTTAGTCAGCAAATCAATCATCTAGAAACGCGTTCATAATTACTTAAAAACAGAATGGGAAAATCTACTTTTTATTTTTTAATTTTAAATGTACGTAAAAAGTATAAAAGTTAAAAAATGAAATACATTGGGAAAGCTTATTTAACTGCGAAAAGGTAAAAAGACACAGAGGCTGCTGAAATGGAAAGATTAAAAATTATTATAACGCAAAGGATAGATGTATTCTATTTAACAGTGGACTACCGAACATTTAAAGTATGAATAAGGATAGCAATATAAAGAAGAATATTATTACTTTGTGTCATTCAATATTTACCCAGAAAAAAATGACGAAGCTTTCTCACGACACGTTTTATCTTCGAGTTTGTACGAGTAAAGATAACGCTATCTGTTTCCAGCCTTCAGAACACACACCTCGAGTATATGTTACAACGACACTATACCTCTGCTACGCGTCGTATAAAGAAATAAAAATACGTATTTATTTTTATAGAGGTCGGATTTATTAATGAATGGTACAATACAATATTGAGTAATTCAGATTTGTATCAATAAATTAATAGCGAAACTATTCAAGTTTCTAAACGTGAAGTGATAAAATAACTCTCATCTGCCTTAAATGGCCGTCGAATTGTATTACGGAGAAAGACACTTTATAAAATATTTAAAAACGTAATATATTTTAGAAATGCACACTTACAAGAAATAAAACCAGTATTTTTATCTAATGAAACTGGCAATTTCTTCTTGCATTCTACAAGGGACATAATACGCGAAAAAAAACGCGAATGAACATGGAGCTTTTATAGAGTACATTTTCCCAATATCAACGGCTATTTACAAATCGTATCACAAACGTGGCCTGTTCGCGTCATACTAAACTTGTAACCTATCAGCTCTTGGGTTTAACATAACGCTAACGCTCTGTATCCCGCAACTGGGAAAACCGCGAGTTTCCATCCCAATGTCGTTTACTTAAATGGAGAACTCAACAAACTAAAGCCATTGAAATATTTAAGCAAGCCAATAGAACCAATAACTTAAACTTATAAGTTAGTGTCGAACAATAAAAAATGTAAACAATAATGTTAATTTGTAAAGGTAATAAACAATACTCGAATTCAAGTAAGTAGTAAAGTAAGTAAACAACGAAATACAAGAGTACTTTGTTCGATGTAGACCGTAAGAGACCGACTCGGAATTCATCCACTCGACTGGAGTACTCTACTCTCGCTGCGTACTCGAGAACAAAATGAGTTTTTTTTGTTAGTTCTTAGAACAAAACGGAGTAAGCGCGGCCCATTGTTATGGAGTAAGGGTATTAGGGTAACAATACATCGGGGCAGGTAGCGGGATGCGGGCCGCGCTTGCAAGATGTTGTGGAGGCATGTGCAGCAGTGATCTCTTACCACCCGGTGCGGCAGATGCGCCGCACGATTCCAATTTTCGAACAACGCACATTCCTCACCTTATTAAACAATATCCGATTTCGATCGATCAGGTGTAAAATTGTTATAATATCCTCATCCTGTCAGTCTTCAAGATTTCAGTCTTATCAAACTTGTTATGTAGATTTTACACATGAATCTCTACGTTTAAATATGATATTATTTAAAAAAAATATAACACTAAAAGGTTAAGTTGTGAATAAGAAGGGTGATTTATATGTACGTAAAAAAACTGCGAAATTGACTGATGTAAGATATAAATTGATCTTAGTATTTTACATTTAATCGTGACCATACTCAAAACTTTACCCGTCACATAAGCAAATTGACTTAATTATTTACTGGTAAAACCTATTTGCATGCGATGCACAAAGGCAATTCGCAAAGAGCTTACTTGTCGCTATGTTAATGTGCATAATTATTGCTGATTGCATTGCAGATGCAGCTGCGAACAATCATTACAAAGGAGCGTAATTGCTGTTAAAATATAGAGTATAACGATACTAAATTATTTTAATACCAGAAACATTATCATTTATTTATGTCAAATATGTTTAATTTCAGAATGGTCACAGATAATGAGACAACGACGCGGCGCAGCTGTGTATCAATCAAGATGTCAGGTGTTAAAGAAAAGTTACGTGTGAAAGTCGCGCTCTTTCACAAACAGACGGCCGTGCTCGAACGTGCCGCGTTCCAGTTTCCAGCGGGGACTGTCTACTACACGGGTGTCAACTTGGGGCGAGGGTCTGCTATATTTAGGCCTCTCGAGCGGAGCAACGGGACGGTTAAGGGCAACTGAGCTAATCGATACCGTGGACGATCAATCGATTGTTACAGGACAACGAGTTAAAAGGCCACTGCCACCGCCGCCGCAACCTTACGCGGCCGACACATGTCATTTATTAATCCACTACGGTCGATTGCTCGCTTAGTATTAAACAGTTTCGCAAGCACATAGGGGCGTCGATTATAGCTTGACAGGCATTTAATTAGTTTAAATTTCAAATGGAGCTTTATTTATAAGTGTCAACTTCATCATTCTCAGGTTGCGAAGGCAACGTCATTTATCCATCCGTTACGAGTGAGTTATTGCGCTCTTCATATTAAACTGTTTCACAAGCACTGCACTTAGAGGTGTCAATTAGACCTTGATTAGAGCCAAACATATAGGACTGAACTCAATAATTCTTATGTTGCAAAGACAAGTTAAACAATTTAATGCCGAATGAGCGATACATGACATCTTAGATCAAGTGACAAACTTAATAATTCATTTGCAGCACCACTTAATCGAGACCGTTGTGTGTAGAGAAATAGTTGGAAGCTTGGGATGCAATACAATTTTTAACAATAATTTAGCACAAACACAAACCATCGATTATCGGAACACAGTATCACGCGATTGTACACGTTCACGACGCTTTTGAATCCACACGCACGACCGAGGCGGAAATCTACAAAGTTCACTAAAAGTCTCCACTGGTATCGTGGGCTTGCGCTGTGGAATTCCGTGGCGGAGCAGCGACGCGCGCGGTTTGCCACGCGGCCCCTTGGCGACTGTTTACAAACCGCGTACCGTCGGGCGACCGGTGCTGTGCGCCCACCACCGTGTCGCGCGGGTACGCTTTCGTCGAAAAAAACGGGCCACCCGATAAGCTCTGATATCGCGCGTTCGAAACTCTAGAGCACAGTCGCGCACGAAAGCGATTTTAGGAGTCGCATTCGGGCGTACAACCGTTGGAGCGTGTTACCGTCATTTAAAAAAAGTAATGCAACAGCCAGTTACATAATTTATTGTTTGTTACCTTCACCATCGAGCACGTGGTAAATTAGCACTTGAAATGCATTAACAATGTCATTAGCGCCGCGACCGGGTTGAACTCAGATTGCTTGAGAGAGAGAGAGAGAGTCCAGACACTAGTGGTAGCTAACATGCCAAAAATTAAGAATAAAATGTAAAGTTTATTCGGATTGGCTAGTTTCAGACCATAGATTTTTAATAACAAAAAGATCGTTATCAGTAACTACTTTTAGTTTTTTTAAGATATTGCCCAATACTTGAACCCTCCTATCTAATGATTAGTGAGGATGCATCGTAGATATTAACGGCAGGCCTTCGAGGTGCTTCATACCGGATAGAAGCAAGCTGCATAGCTTTAAGCATAATGAACTTCAAAAAATCTCCATTTCGTCAATAGTATGATGGATGGCCGCAATGTCATGTCCTAGTCCCCATTGAAAAGGGAGGAAGAAATCAATCGTTTTAAAAACCACAAGCTGATAGTTCTGAATTACAAGCTGTTTCATAATAACACGCTATGTATGTTAAATAACAAAATGCACTATGTCAATTAAGATAACAATCTTTAAATACTGCGAAATATATAGCGAATAAATTTACATAGAGCGATGGTGTACAAAACTAGGCCGCACGAGTGTACGATAGTGTGATAACGTTCTTTTCTTTGTCGATGTTTACAAAACCCAACAGGGCCGATGAAAACGCAGCGCCTACAAGCTGAATGCACGATTGCTACATTGTATTTGCAAAAGCAACACTATCCTTGTTGCTAGTTGATGATGCGCAGCTACTAAGCTGTTAGCTCCGGCGTCGTGGGTTCGAATCTTATATGGGACATTTATTTGTGTGACCAGAGATAATCGTAAATATTGTTCCGGATCGGGATGTTACGCAACGTGAACATTATTTATGTAAAAAGTTAGTAAAAAATTTTTTTAAATGTGTATTACTTATGCAAGTATTTGTGCAGTCCCCATAACGATTAATACCTATAGAAATCGTAAATAGGAATGTGTTATGGTTGAAAGCGTCTAAAATTTCTTATAAAAAATAAAACTAACACTAAACTATGATGAACAATTGCTATAATAATAGTTTAGTACTATAATAGAAGTTGTTCACGCAGTGCTTATATAGGCATCAACACATAGGAATAATAATCACGAATAAATCATGAGGTGTGCATATCGAGGGGCATAACTAGGCAACAACCATTGGGAAGGAGAAAAATTCAAAGTGCCGAAAGGCACACGAAGAGAGCCGTACCAAAGTGTACTCAGCGATAAGGGAAAAATCCGTGTTTACTTCCACGTTATTGGTCCGGATGGCGTTTGTGCAATAATTGAGTAATGCTGATAATGGTGTCATACGAAAGTTGAAACGTCGCGTGGATCGCTTTAAACGCGCGTTGAAAACGGTTTTGTATTTGTTTCTACAATTGGGTTATATAAACTCTTTTTAAAGACATCGTACATGTACAAATATTGTTCAAACAAGGTTTCATTGTAAGCGTCGAGGATAGGTCGTGCATAGGTCGTGCAGGGATCGAAGCAACCAACGATTTCGTTCGGTGCGAATTTATAAACGTTTAAACGTTTTTTTAGATATGTATGTTTATTTTATATAACTATTATTTTGGTTTTTCATTATTGAATTGATATTCAATTAAAGAAGCGGATATTCACCATCTTCTTAATAATTAAGCCAAACGGATGCATAGCGCAAAAGCAACATATACACGTGTTGTTCTGTGGCTGCTAACATTATTATTAATATTTAAAGATTTTTATTGACACACGTAAATTAGTTTCGTGTTTCCTCATTATCATCATCATTTCAGCCTGTAAGAGTCCACTACCTACTGAATACCGAGAGACTTCCAGGAAGCAGGATCCCGAACCAACCGTCACCTATTTTATTTCTTACTAGCGACCCGCCCCGGCTTCGAACGGGTGCTATATTATATATACATATAAACCTTCCACGTGAATCACTCTATCTAGTAAAAAAACGTAAATCCTTTGCGTAGTTTTAAACATTTAAGCATACATAGGGACAGACAGACAGCGGGACGACTTTCATTTCTATAATATGTAGTGATAGTGACGATCTTTATGAAAAAAGATCAATGAACAAAAGTAGTACATTGGTTTTTCCGCAGGTACGAATTTATTTACTACTTCACACGTACATACATTAAACCGAAAATACTATAGATTATAATAGAACTCGCCGACCGCTATTACCCAAGTCTTTCCAGGGAAGCAAATAAAGCGGATCGACGCGCGGTTTACGGCCAGTCGAAAAAAAAACACATTTGCGTGTAAACCAAATCACGTGCGCGCGTTCAACGAATCAATACAAAGGAGGATGAATAGGCTGTTTACTTCTTGCGATGATTTATCGCGGCTAATGCCGGAAGCATCTTCTGGCCGAGCGGTGCAATTAACATATAAACGGCGTACAGACACGCGGTATACGCGACGACTAAGGAGGATAGAGCCGACATTATTACACTGAGCTGACTCTGAGTCATAAGGATGTGCTTGCTGGGACGCACGTGTGCGACCGATAAGATGCAATATTGTTCGCATCGAACCCGACGGCCGTAGACCCGCGCACGTATCCTTGGCCGTGTGATAAGGAGGCTGCGTTTACTTACAAACATGGTCGCTGTTACGACTCTATATATGCGATCTAAAATCTGTATTTAATAAATTTACAAAGCGATATATCATGACAAACTGGCTCTAATCGAAATGAAGAATAAAAGCGTGGTAAAACTGGCCGTATGACGGTATATCTTTATAAAACAAATCACTGTCAACTGTAAATATCATGGAGCGTTGCATAATAAGAGCCACGCGTCGCGTGTCGAAACGGCTTCTACTGCTCCAGTTTGAACGCGTGAAATAGCACATCTGCATTGCCGTTGTACGCGCGGCTAATATTTTTGGCACGAACCTTTCGACCAAGCGCCAACTCGTGGGAGGCCAACGGCGACGTCGGGGACATCACTGTGTTCGATTTTCAAATTATAGCGAATTTATGAGTACCGAATTGAATATACATACGTGGGGCCCCCGTAGCTGCCCTATAATGCCATATTGGAATAGTAATGACTTTTCTACAAAAGACAAATTTTTGTAACACCTAGTCCTTTATTATTACTTCTGGCAGGTCAAAGATGCAAAAGTGGCGAGATTTGATTTTTACAAAAGACTTTTTTTTTAATTTATTAAGCTCACCTGCAGATGTGACAATAAAACTTTCTTAGGTCACCTATACACTTTAACATCATTGCAGCAAACATTCACTTCGAAAAGCACTTTTGGTCACATTTCACAACTTCGAGATAGTTTACCCATCGCACCAATAATCCGTTCAACGCAGTAAAAAATACCAGCACATTCAACCTACATTCTGTCATGTGATAAATAAACAACGCCCTAAAATATTACAGAGCAATTAAAAAAATATCCGCACTTCGTCACAGCGGCCTTGGACTGACTAAAAGAATAGAGAATACAATCAAAATATTATACGATTGGAGATTCTTCTCAAAATTAATAATTGAAACTCGAAAATATTTTATAGAATTATTAAAAATAATAATAAAATATTAATAAAAATTACATGTCGCGCATATGCCTTTGCAAATTCCAATTTCATGATAAGTCCCAAAGATTATTAGATCTTGATCATTTTATATATCGGGACATCCTCTTAAGTACGAAAAACAAATAAAATGTTATAAAAACTTAGAAAATGCGGTACAGAATAACATACAATTTAAAAAAATCGACGAATTGAGAACTTTTAAGTGACTAATCAAAAATTTAAAAATGGTTTCATAAATAAGTCAGCACATCATGTATGACCATTTTGTTTTTAGGCGTACTCTACCAATTATTTTCGACGTTCTAACGTCACATCGAACCACCACAAGTAGCGGTCGCGACTGTTTATTGGTCATTGTTAAAAACGGCCGGTTT